AACCTTTAAAATCTGACATAATATTACTTTATAAAGAATAATTATTGAGAAACCTTTCAATATTTAGGTAAGGTTCCAAGAATTTTTTTCACTTAGGAATAACAACAACAACAACAACAACAAACTAAGCATTATATCCCATAACTTTGGAATCGGCTATATGAAAAATAAAAAAAGGAATCATGTTAGGTTGTAATATTTTCTTTTAAGAATAGTAGCTTTTATTTCCAATGAAAATAATTTTTCAAAATCATCATTTATTATCTTATATTTTTTTAACAATAATAAAATGCAAATATTGCACCATGGAACAAATGGATGATGCAAATATAAATTAAAAGAAGTAAATGTTTGATTTAATTTCACTTTATAAGTCTTTAATTTTAACTCTTTTTAATTATTTATCATTATTTTAAAATAATATTTAGTAATAAAAAATTTTATTTATTTATTTTTTGTATTGAAAAATTTTCTTTAATTATCCAATATTTAAGCGAAATTTGAGAAAATTAATTCTACACTTGAGAAATTCTCACGATTAATTTTTAAAAAAAATGAAAAGGATATTCTTTAGTAAAAATATGATTTAAAATTTTCCATTATTTAGATAGGGTTTTCAAAATCATTTTTTTTAAATTTTTTAGATTATTATTATCACTTTAGATTTATTATCAAAAAGTATAATCATACGATGCAGAGATATCACTTTAGATTTATTATCAACAAGTACAATGCATATTTTATTTGCAGAGTATTCCAGAGATATCTAAATGGGTTCATTGTGATATTAAAAGATGATTAAGGTTAAAATAATAATTTTTTGATGAATAAATAAATGATTTTATTTTAATCTTTGCACATGTCAAACATAATATAGGATGATATTATTTAATTTAATCTTATTCATAATATCATATTATCCTATTTTATCATAATTTTGTATACCAAACATGACCTTAATATATAGTTATTGAAAATTATTGAGTATTGATTGTAATGGCATTCCTATTTAATAATATATTCTATATAATTTCAATTTTTTAATACAACAATTAATCATAGTTTAGTTTTGCACAATTATAGGTTTATTTTGCTTTTATACAAACCATCAGGTATGGCACATTGTGCTAAAAATCAAAGTATATATCAATATTTGTAGTGGATGAAATTTTAAATTTATTATATTTTTAAGTTTGTAATATTATGAAATATAAATACTTGACATTTGCCAAGTTTTATTTTATAAATTGCTAATATTTATAAAAGTTTGTCAATAATAATGAGTATTATTTTAAATATGAATATTTTACTGTAATGGTAAAAAATTATGAATAATATTTTTTATATGAATAAATTATCATAATCATAAATTATTTTTAAAATCATTAAAAAGAGTTTCTTATGATTATAACTATAAGATGCGCAAAATTGTGCAATAAGTTATGCAAAATTTGAAAAAAAATTCATTACTATGATGATTACAATTATTATAATAACAACAATTATGTTTGCAACTACGATAAACGTAATGTGACCGAAAACACAAACTCAACTACAATTTAAATTTCTAGATTGAGCATATTCTTGAATCTTGATAATTGGCCCATATGCCCTTTGGATCTAAATGAGAAAACTCATAAATTTCAGGGAAAGTTTTTTACATCCTTAGTAGAATATTTGCAGGTTTTTGTTTCTTTCAGTTGGTAACATACTTGGAAAACTAGTTTGTGACTCGTGCGATACAAGGATTAATTTTATTGATTAATTAAAATATTTTAAATTTGTGAAACTATTAATTAAAATTTATTTCTACAAACAAACTGAAAAGACTATATTAAAATATCAGTCAACAATTAAACATCAGTTCATGATAAAATATTTATGTAACCAATAGATAAAAAATTACTTTGGATCTAAAAGAAATTTCTTTGGAATATAGTTGATTCCCACTTTTAAATTTATGTGATTCCAAAACCAATAATTAATATAAAAGGCCTACTCAAGTTACAAAAATATATAAAAACTTACTTAAGTTACAAACAGTAAAAAATAATCTAGAAATTCTTGAATTGAAAAATATTTATTGACTAAACAAAACTTATTATCATTATCTTCACAAAAAATAATATTTTGTGGCTTAATATTCATATGCACAATTCATGTTATCACTTTTTTTACTTGAGAAAAAATGTGTTAATATAAAAGTTAAAAAGATAAATATTTAAAAATTTAAATATAATAGCAATAATAATAATTATTCTCTTTACTCTATTTTTGTTTCCCACTTTTCATTTAATAAAACATTATAATAAATATAACCATATATGTTAAAAACCATTATCAAAAAGTTTCATATGTCCAAAAAATAAGTAATAGGATTAATGACTAACTAATTATTTGGCACCTAAGTAAGATCTTTGCATAGAGCAGGATTTTCACAAAGTTAAATTCAATACATAATCCAAAAAATATAATGAATGAAATACATATATATTATCTATAAATGATATAAAACCAATTTTTCTATTCAATGATTTGTTCATGGTGTAACAAAAAATATATATACCTCTAAATTTTGTTTTAGTGTTTGAAAACTATGATCTTGATAAAAAAAATAATTAAAATAATTAAAAAATGTGAAGCAAATAGAAAAGAGTTAAAAATAAACAATAATATTAGAAAATAAAATTAACTCAAAAAAATTGACATACCTTAACTTAATTGTAATATTGATCAAACCATTAAAAAAATTTAAGAAATTTGCATTAAAAAAAGAATTTGAATAAAAATAATATGTTTTAGGATAATTAGATGTAGAAACACATACTTCATATTTAACTTGTAATCAATGCAAATTCAATCGAGGAAATATTAAAAGATTTTAAAAGTATAAGAGATATAATAAATGATTTTAAGTTGTTTGAATTTTAAAAAAAACCAAATATTAAAAGATTATGAGGAAATCTATGAAGATATTAAAAATTTTAAATTTAAAAGAGATATATGTATATTATTGGAAAATGTTATTCTAAAAGAAATATATCTAAATTATATTTAATTTGTATGCTTTACATAAAATTAATCCAAATATTTAAAGTAATATACATAGGAAAAAGTCAAAAAATTAGTAAAGCTATAATGATTTAATCAAAAAATATTTTATATTTAAAAGTTAGTATTTGAATTTTGGATTTGATATATATTTATGACAAGAGTTAGTTGAGATTTTTTGTGATTTAAATTAAGTTAAAGTTTATATGAAATTGAAATATTGGATAAACTTAATTTTTAAAATTGTAAATTATTTGGTAAATAATTAAAATTAAAGAACTATTCTATGTATAGATTGTACATGTAAGTGATCATGCAAAAATGCTTATTCAGTCATATATTTAAAACTATCTTATATGTCATCAATATAAATTATATAAATAGGATTACACGTGAGCAAATCTTATAATGTATTCTTGTATGTTTAATATAATATTATATATGATTGATTTTTTATTTAAATCTTAATAAACTTTAATCCATAAATATATTTAAATAGTATTTTATCTATAGATAATATCTAATCAGATAATAATATTTAAATTTTGGTGTTTTATACGTTTATCCTCCAAATAGAAATCTCTAATTAGATAATTACTAGATAACTCTAGACTTAAGAAATTTCATCAAAGTAACCAACATGGCTTATTAGAGTTTAAAAGTTATCTAACAAAAAATTTTTTTACTGTTATTTAGTTGTGTATTATGATTTCATCTGCATAAATAAATTAAACAAATTTATTGAATTTATTTTCTTATTTGTTTTTAAATCATAATAAAAAAGATATTAGCTTAAATGGGTTATCATTAACTTTATTATGAATTGAGAAATAAAAAAAAAAATGTTACAGTTGATTTTTTTTTAAAAAAAACTTACCTGATTGAGTGAATAATATATTTAGTAAAATAGTACCTATCATCAGAAAAAAGTATGTTATTTCCTATAACAAGAATAGACTAATAAAAAGAGATATTAAATTAATTGTAAGGACAATAAGTTTAGCTCATATGCTTTGTGAGACATTGAGAAAGCTGTATAATTAAGAACTACCAACAATAAAGGCTTTCCTAAAGTTGTTCTGATATTTATATCTTTTTTTTTTCATATTTTCTTAAAATATTAATATTAAAAGTCTATAACAAATACTTATTAAAATTAAAATTTTAGATAATTCAATAATTTTTAAAATATATTTTTTATAAATAATTTAAAATCAATAAATATCATATGTGTCGTTATAATAAAAAATTTTAAAAATTATCTTATATGTTGAAAAAAGAAGCTGTTTTTGGAATTATCTTATATATCAAAAAAAAAAAAAAAAAGCTCTCCACATAATCATCTATATCAACAAATGCTATCAAGTAACTATGTATGTTATAATATATATATATATATATATATATATATGATGAGGTGTGATGAAAATGCATGATTTGATAAAATGATCAGGTGCTGAGTAGTGGAATTTCCTGGAAAAACAGAGTTGAACTGGTTAAAGCTAACAAACCCCTGAAACAGGACAAATGAACTCAACCTTATGATGGGTGGATTAAGGTGAACCGTGATGGGGCTTTCTCTTGAGGTACCAAGAAGGCTGGCGTAGGGGCTGTTTAAATAACAAGGAGTTAACTGGTGGTTATAGCAAATGGATAAAAACTAATCCCAGTTTGCTTGCCGAAGCTCAGGCTTTCAAAGAAGGAATTTCTACTAAAAAAAAGAATGGATACCGAAAGGTTGCTTTAGAAGCAAATTCTCTAGTTTCGTATAAGAAACCGATAAAAGAAGGCAGAGGTAGTCATTGGAAGGTGGCACCAGTTAGTTATCATTCTGCTTTAAACTTTGTACTAATGTTCGCTTTCAGTATTAATGAAATTCATGTCTCTTGAAACCACCCTCCCACCCCCCCCCCCCCCCCACCAAAAAAAAAAAAAAAAACCAAAACAAAGAAAAAAAAAAGAAAAAGAAGAGAGACAGATGAGTTGCTCTTTGCCATTTAAGATTTGCTCTTGAGCCAACCTCTAACTCAATTGTGATCTGGGTGCCAACTTGCGGTGCATACCCATCAAGACCATTAATCAGAGACTTCAAACTCCCAAGAACTGTGACAATCGCAATACACCCACAGCTTTAAGTAATACCTAACAATCTAGACATTCATGACCAGAGACATCATGGGAAAGATATGACTGGCTTCTTTTGCATCAACCAATTGCCAATGTACATCCGAAAGGGGAAATCATTCTATATGGTCATTGTTGAAGAAAATTTTTCAGGCCTAGACTAACTCTAAGCCACAATGGATCAATCTACATGGCTGCTATATCACGAATATAGTCTTCCCACATTTCAGCTGCAATAGAATCCCTTAACTGTGAACTATGTTCTAGTTGTTCTGCTTCAAAAGCAACCTCCAGATCATTAGTATCAACATGCATCATTGCTTGTTCCACATCTAGAGGAGGCAACGATTCCTCTATCTGTACAGCAGTCTCTTGTTCATACATTTTAAAAAGCATATCATCCGGTTTCTCTATACGTATGTAGTTGTGTAATGCACATGCCGCTACTACCAATTTCACCTGTGTTTGCAATGGGTAGGGAGGAGCCGACATCAAAATAGGGAACCGTTCCTTTAAGGCCCCAAAAATACGATCAGTGGCATTTTGCAACAAGAAGTGTCGTTGATTAAATAGCTCTTTGGCATCTTGGAGATGATAACCACTGGGAAATTCATCCAAGTTATAGGGGGGACCGAGATACGGGGCAATGAAGCCTGGCATATTTGCATACTTGTTATCCACAAGGTAGTATCTTCCTGCATCATTGAAAATTTTCATGCAACTACTAAAACTGGAATTTTAGGCGGTAACAGACAGCAGACATATATTATTCTAGATGTTCAAAGAAGTTAAGGCTACATTTGGTGTCTGTATTTGCTACTTGTTTTTTTATTCCCAATGCTAAAAGAAAAAAGTGACATTTGTATATAAAACCAAATTTTATTTTATGTTTTTTTGGTAAGACTTGAAACTTCAAGATTTGACTTTCAAACAGAAAAAGTATGGTTTTACTTCAATATGCATTAATCATGCTTAGAATGTTTAACTATTTACTTTTAGAGAAATATGGTTTTGACAATTTGGTTTTGCTTTATAGCATGGAAAGCAAATTAAACGAGTAGCAGCAAGTGGTGACTAAATTAATCTAGAGTGTGCTATATCTTCTCGAATGTTTGATCCCATTCCTCAAAATAATACTATAGATGAATTTCTCAAACACTATGTGAATATGTCAATTTACTAGGCATCCAAGAAAAAAAAAAAGAAGGAAAAAAAGAACTAGTACGTCTTTATCTAGACAATATGTAATACCTTCAGGGACTTGCAACTTATTACGCCTAGTAAGTGCTGAATTTAGAACTCTCAAATCTGATGCTGAGCCTTCCCAGCCAGCTAGAACATAATGGAATTTAAGATCAAATGAACAAGCTGCCAGAACATTTTGTGAAAGTAATCCATTCTTATTGCGGAAAGGTCCTTGCTCATCTACACCAACCATCACTGGAATGTGTATGCCATCGACTGCTCCCACACAGTCCTAGGAAAAGTAGTTGAAAATGAGATAGAAGTAACCCAATAAAGATATTAGTAAAACTACATATTTTAGGGGTACCTTAAAATATGGATAAAATCGAGGATCCTGCGAGATTTCTGGTGGAACATCAGACCCTGGAGGCTGAAAGAATTCTAATGAAATTGCCATAATTGCATTCAGAACATTATTGAAATGGCGACTGATGGTTTCTCCAGAGTATCTGAATAACTCCTGAACAGCCCGAGTCCTTAGATTATGGCCAATTATGAACAAGAAAATGGCTAATTGCTCCTCAATCTTGATACGATTTGTATGTCGAAGCAAGCCTTTGCCTTGCAGAATATCACATAATTTGTAAAACACTGGTTTATCCATGCGAAAATTTTCCAAACATTGCTCACTCTGTCCATTAAGTACCTCATCTACAAACTTTGTACCATTCGATTGAAGACTATGGCCCAGCTCTTTGGGCATAAAATTTCCATAGATTCTGTCTTTGTCATCATCAGAGCTCTCCATGAGAAAACTAGCCTCAGCACTTAAGAAGACACAGATCAATCATCAGCACACAAAAAGATGTAACGCTTTGAAAGGCTTTGTGAATGACATGAAACATTAATGCAATAAGGAGCTAACGTACCCTACCCAAGCACAAAGTATACCAGTTAAAAGCAACAGGTTAGGAGCTGAACAACCCAAACACCATCTAATGCACTCATGCTAATCTTTTTGGCTGAAGCACAGAATTGATCAAAAGATAAAGTTGATGGCATTATAGCTACAAAATGCTTTTCTAGACAACGTGAAGTCTCCAAAATCCCTATCCACCACATAAAAAGAGTTTACATCACCTGATCACCACTTCAAATATGAAATCTTTCAGTACCCATTTATTGCTATCCCCCCTTTCAATATGTCATTTTAAAATACTTAATTTAGTGCCTTACACCTAGAGCAACAAAGAAGCAAAATAGGTAATGTTATGCCTCACAAAATAATAACAGGCAGCTATTGTGGAATCAATCTCACCCAATACTACAGAAATGAAGTGCAAAAGAAAAATGAAATAATGTATTTAAAGAAGTCAGTCATTCAAAACTAGCAATGAAGGATTCAAACAACAAAAATTATTTCATAGAAACTAGAGGTATCACAACCATGCATACCTCCACAAAAATTGAATTAACAGTGGATATGGACCAACTGGGTAAAAAGTGGCAATATGTGCTCCTAGGCATTTGCCTCTTGATTTCAACTTTATCATTTCAAAGAAACAAGAAAAGAGAAGGGGCTTGTGTCTACAAGATATGCATAATGATGCCTATTAAGTAGTGAAAAGTTTCACACATTGGAACTTGTAAGAGAAAAGAGGAAAATATGAAAAGGTAAAAGAAAAAGGTTTCTTCTCACAAGCTCCATCTTGAAAAGTAGCCATGTGTGTCTTCTTTTCAATACAGTTCAATTGATTAATAAAAAAGATTATAACAAGATTTCTTTATTCTACACATCACAAATGAAACCATTCTAGTGCTTTCCGCTACGTATCTTGTACTGCCTTTTCAAAGATGTACAATCTACATGAGCACTTTATCTCCTTCCTTTCACTGACAGGAGATGTAATAAGGATAGATCTCACCTTATCATGGAAACACCAACTTGATAAAGGCAAGACTAGATCCTAGGTCTTGGCTATTGTAGGAATTCAGGAGATTGAAAAGCAACAACTCCAAGGCATATTAAACTGACCTTTTAAGATCAGAGCAGGCAACTCTAATGAGTTAGTAAAAGCAAGAAATAAGTCAAAATAAAATAGAAATTCGATATTTCACAGCTTCAGTTGTGGCGATAAAGCAACAGATGTTCTCAAATCAAATGCATCATTGACTTTGCTATTAGGTTACGTTGTTTACTCATTTCTGCACTCTTATGTCAACATGAATCGAACAAAAAGAAAGAACAAAGGAAAGCAAGACATTCTAGCTTAAAATGAAAGTATGATTATGATTACTTTGTCAAAAACAGTTGCAGAGGTGCTTTCTCTCTAAAGTCATCCCTGAAATTGTTAATGAATGGAAGGGTCATTCCTTTTTAGCCGCAGCATTCACCTACAGAAATCATTGCACCATTTCTGCCTGAAGGTTTTCTCAAAAAGTCTAACAAAATAATTAAAAAACCATAATAGAAAGGATCATAATTAAACGATAGAAGCTTTTGCATAATGACAAAAATTTTCCAAGAAAACTGAAACGCAGGCATGTTAAACCTATATATTAAAACCCTAAAAATCCGAGAAATGTGGTTCTCTGTGTCATTTTGACATATAATCAGGCACATTGGAGGGCGATTCTCTCCACAAATTTCAAACAGATAATTAAATGAAAATAACTGCCTGCCAGAGAAAAAGAAATCAAAAGAGTAACGAAACAAACACCAATCATTTCTGATAAAAGCAAACAATGTCGTGCCAAGAAAGCATAGATTTGAATAGAAATAATTTCTACTGGAGTAAAAGCATTTTTTGTTTTAATTATAATCTCAAAATGAAAATGATAGTTATAAAAATCAGCGTAGTGTAATAATTTTGTTACGGAGAAAGAAGATAAAGCAATACCTGAGAAAAGCGGGCTTCGAACGACGTCGTGGAGAGGTGTGGTGAGAATCGGATGGAATTGAAGGGAGAAATTGCGAGAGGAGAGTGATAGTAGAAGTAGTAGTAGCACCAGTCCTTCTAGTTAAAAGTTTTCAAGTAGCAGAAGGGGCTGCAGATTGCAATTATAACGCTTCTTTCTTTGAGCAGTGTAGAGTCTCCATTTTCTCCTCCACCACTGGGAATTTTTTTCTCACTTCAGAGGGAAGGTTTATTATTCATCAAAATGCTCTCATTCGGCTACAAAGCTTGGCCCATTCCTCCTCTTTAAGGAAGCCCAACCGAGCCTTATTTGGTCCATGAAGAATTTTTTTTATTTAATTGAAAAAATATATATATGGGTGATAATTTTATTTTATGGCAACATTATTATAAGGATGATTTGTGACAACTACTATGTTGCTTTAAGAGAAATGAGATTTTGCCGATTATCTTTGAATAACATATTATTAGAGTTGACATTTGAAGATTATAGATTTGAATAAATTTATGCGCGTAATGTTTTATAGATTTGGTAATTTGTGTTTTCGTATCATATTTTATATCATGTTTAATATATGTAATTACATGAATTATTAAAATGTCAATATGACATATTTATCATATGTATTATATGTTACACGATACTATTAACATATATATAATTAATTCGTTTAAACACGATATGAATGAATATAAATAACACAAATATATATAAATAGACATAATTAATACGAATATATACAAATATATGGTTAAAATAATAAATAACTATAAAACTATCTATAATCTATAACTTAATAAACTTGACATATTAAAAAAATAAAAAATTTTGATACCCATTTAATATGCATTTAATATATATATATTTAAATTTTAATATATATTACATAATTATATTAGTTTTTAGTATCAAATTTAAAACGATGAACTACTAAAGATTAAAGAATAAAATAATAATGCATAAGATTAATATTAATATTATATTATATTTATATTATTAATAAAAAAGTAATTTTTTAATAATTATTAAATGAGTATCATAATTAAATATTTAAAATATTCTTTATATGAAATTGAAAAACCAATTAAGTATCATGATTAAAAGATTAAAAATTAAAATAATTTTTATATGTTTATATTAAATTAAAATAAATATAAAAATATGTTAAACATATCAAACGCATACTCGTATGACAAATTAAATTAAATATATTTTTCATATTGTGTTACTTATTAAATGTGTATTCATGTGATATATTTTATTTAAACATATTTTTTGTATCTTATACATATTTATATATATCAACATATATAAAATATGAATTATATTATATCAAAATTCATGTCCACATAAATAAATACGAAACATATTTTTTAAAAATATATATAATTTTTTTGTGTTATATCACAATATTAGGTTTTAAATTGTCAGGTATACTCTTCAACTAAGTAAATAATAGTATAGATAAATTTAAGAGCAGATTAAAATTTTCAAAAAGAAAAAGAAATGAGATTTTTTTTTTCATAAAACTAAAGTTTTTATTAAATAAAAAGTAAAATGGGAGTCAAGTTGTCGTTTGTAAGAAAAAAATAAGAACACAAATATAACAAACATCTATTTTAGTCTACACAAATATAAAAAGTAAAATGGGAGTCAAGTTGTCGTTTGTCGATTGTAAAATGATGACACGTGGACTGTTAAAAGTGTTACAAACTATGGTCTCTCGCATTTTCATTTCAAAGCCATTTATTGTCTGTCATAGGAGGGGTTTTTTTTTTTTGGGGGGGGGGGGGGGGGGTGTTGGGGAATAAAAAAAGCAAAGAACAAACCATGATTCTCAACACAACAAAAAGAGAAAAGGTTTTTTCATCTATTTGGAGGTGTTTACAACCCTTCACCTTCAAACTTTTCCAGATTGCTTTATGTTTGTATTAATTTTTTAAGCAAAAACTAATAATTTATCTTCCAAACCCAAATCATTAGCAAAAAATATATATATCTTCAGAAATTCCTACTTTCTTTCTCACGAAGATAATTGGTTGGAAGAGGCAGAGATACTAATTAAATGAGAGTCTTGGAAAAGAGACCAAGGCTTAGTTGAGCTTATAAAGGCTATGCTACATGAATGGTTAAATAGATAAAAGAAAGCATTCAACTCCTATGTATGGCATGGATCATAGAGGTAGATTTTTCGTAGGATGGATTCACAAAAGTTCTTATGACTTTACTTAAGACTAATACGCTTAGCGTGGAAGAGATTATGACGAAGGTAAGAAATCACCCAGAGGCTAAGGAGCAGATAAATTCTCTTGACCCAATCAATTCCATCCTTAACTAACCAAAGGGTATTTGGAAAATTTGAGAACATGGATTCTTTCGATGGCTTTGGTAAAATATAAGAGGGCTCATTTTATATTCTTCTATGTTGGGTAAATATAATAAAAGCTAAGGTAATTATCATGACACAACACTTTAAAGGTTTAAATAAACATAATTATTCCTTTTTTTCCTTATTACTAGAAGGAATGGATTTAAAAATGTTTTTCTTAAATAGGTAATTTAGAAGCATAATCTATGGTTTTAAAGGTTGGTAAATGTTTGATTCTGAAGTTAAAAATAGATGTAATTTGACCAATTCATCTATAGAAATAAATTTGTCAAAAACATAATAGTTAAGCTTACTCTCTGGGATGTACGAATAGATAGGCATATAATTTCATCAAAGCCACTCCTAATTATTTAGGCACTATTTTATAATCTTTTCCTTTTCTCTTTTACTGTTATATTATACACGAGTTATCTTTGCAATATTGTACCTGAAGTTAAGTTTATTGATTGATTTTTTTAATTTTTTTGTTTGCTTTCTATAGTTTCACTTCTTAATTTAATTAAGGGAGGGAAAACAATTAAACTAACATTTACTTATTAAATGTTAATTCAATTGTAGATAATAATCTAAGAGGAAGTAAATTGGATTATTTTTTATTTTTTTCCCAAAATTGACTTTTAATAAAGTTGAATGAGAAATCTAAAATAATAAAATATTTGATGGAAATTTCATGAGATTAACAATAATACAAAAAATTAAAGCACATATAAAAAATGAAAATAAAATAATAAGGATAAATATATTAAATACAAATATTTATAGAAATTCAATCTTTTTCTAAAGACAGCTACGTTTTCTCCCTTAACTCTTCTAGTCAAGCTCATTCCACTAATTGAAAATTCTTTTACAAAATACAATTCTTATCTTTCAAGGTAAAGATAGCAACCTTTACTATTTTAAGATTCTACCTAATCCTATAAATTTTACTTAAGAGTACTCACCCTTTGACTCAAAATTTTCTTTTTAAATATAAAAAAATTTGCACACTATGAAATACATATCAAAGGTGATAGTGTTTGCCTAATTTAAGTATAAATAATGATAAATGAAGAACAAATATAATTTGGATACAAAAAGAAGAAGAATTAAAGCTCTAATTTTTGTAATGCTTTTGAATTCTTGAGAGAATGAATATAAAGCTTATTGGTGCTTGCTTTCTTACTTCACAAGTGTGTTGGAATACCCAATTTATAGAAAAAAACAAGTTTGTAGCCATTGAAAAAGATTAGGAAATGAAAATGCATGTTTTTTCTCCTTTCACAATAGCCGTTAGAAGCTATCAGAAGCGAATAGATAAATCCAGTCCATTAAGGGATCGTTTGGTTCTTGAATTTCATTCAAAATTTGACTATTATAAGAGAATGGAATGATCCATTTTGATAGGGGATCGATCGAGTCAATTAGGTTTTACATTCCGAGTGATTTTGGACGAACGATATTGTCAATTGTCTTAAACTAACTCCTATTTTGCACTCTATTTACTAATTTGATCATATCTTGAGTTATATAATTCTAAATCAAGATCTGTTAGAAGATTTAGAAACTAGATTTAAGGAGCTTTCTATTCATATGAAATTAATCATTTGATTCAATGTATAAATATTATAGTGAATTTTCAAAATTACCCCTTTTATAGTTGTTAGAGAACTGCATAATCTCTAGTAAAAATTTAAAATCTTTTCTTAAAAAATTTAGATTTTGGTTTTGTTTGATCTATTAGAAAGTAGACTTAAAGGGCTTTTCATCTACATAAAATTCAAATATTAAAACTTTCTAAATTATTATAGAAAAATAAAACAAATTTAATGTTAGAATTTTTTTTTTTTGCAAAACAACTTTCTTAATCTAATTTATTTTTCAAAACTAATATTATCAAAATTGTATTGAGTCCAAAATTAATAAATTCACTTTAAAAACAAAACTTGGACTTTTATTTAAGTTCAAATAAATAATTTTTAGAAACAGTTGTGGTTTGAGATATAAAAACATAAAGAAAGGTTTAAGGCTTTATAAAAACATTTACTATTTTGGGATACATAATATTTATTTAGTATAAAAAATAATAAATCATAGGAATCATATACTAAATAAATCTTTTCAAAAATTTAAAAGCTTTTTCCAAAATATTTTTAATTTCAATTATTACTAGTATTTATTTAGTATTAAAAACAATATAATTTAAAAACATGTACTAACTAATATCTTTTTTTAATTAAGCTTATTTAGCTTAATATTTTGTCATTTCAAAATAAGGATCAACTTAAGGCAACAACCTTGTCCTTTTTAATATGACAAAACTTAGAGATGAATTTGCTTGATGAAAAACTTTATTTGAAACTTTTAAAATTTTTGAAAACTATTTTGAAAAACTCACCCTTAAATAATACATGTTTCTTAACAAAACTCCCCCTCGACTAATGCATTCTTCATCTTAATTCAACATTCATAATTCAATCTAATTTAGCATATATTCTTTTAAGCACATACATATCAAAATATCCAACACTCATAATTCAACATATATATATATATATATATAAAGGCATATTTATCTATTAAGCAAACACACACATATATGTATTATCAAAGCAAATTTGTCAACAAAATATTTCTCCTCCCTTTTATCATAGCAAAAAAGTGATCAATTCAAGGTATAGGACAAAATTCAAAAGCAAATATTTTCAATTAAAAGCATAATGAATTCATGTATTCAAGTGTAATATGCATAATAAAGTTCAAATACATGTATTCAAGTATAAGAGCATAAAAATATTTCAAATGTATCCAATTTTAAGATTTTAGCACAATAGTCTCAAATTTACTAAATGATACTTTTGAGTAAAAAGAAGAGAAATAATATGC